CAAATAAATAGTGTGAGAGAAGAAGAGAAAAAAACCACGCACTCGCGACTAATGATATCGAGGAAAGCGTGATGTGGTTTATTGGACGTGTCGTCTCTAAAATGTTAATTTCATTACGTTATAATAGAAATACTTGTACACCATTGTGACCGTAATACTACACATATTTTCTATTTTGCTCTTCGCACGGCGGCGGTGTATGCGGACTTTTCACGCTGCGCTGTACGCACAATGGTCGCGGACATCATTCCGATTGGGCGTCGGTGCGCGGGCCGAAGGGTTGGCAGGACCGCGACGACGGTTTTAAGTTTTCTTAAACAACCCATTCGTTTTTATCGGGCCATCTGCAAGGCGTTAAGACAATAGGCTTTGGGTCGTGACGACTTTGGACAGGTTCGAGAGATCCGCCCTGCAGGTTTTATTGTTTTTATATCGTTATCTAGCGCGTTCGATCTTGAGGGTTTGTCGGCCCGGAAAATTCGCGACCCCCATTGTCCTCTTCTTTTAACTACACTGCACAATCCACGCACAAAAATAATGAATTCCGCTGCACCGAGACCTCGTCTCGTCTTTGCGCGCAAAAGTTTTTTTCTTCTTATATACCATACCATTATATCATTATTATTATTATTATTATTATTATTATTACTACTACTATTATTCGCTCTATATATATATCTCTCTCTCTCTCTCTCACTCACTTTATTTTTATTTTTTACCCCGTTCGCGACGTCTAAGAATAAAACGCGTTGATCAAAAAGACGAACGTCTGCGGAGATAATAAACTCTTTTCTGGTTCGTTTTTTAAAAAATTTTTTTTTTTGGTAAATTTTTATTTTCTGCAGTGCTCGAGCGCTCRTTTTGTTTTGTACTGCTCGTTTTGTTTTGTACTGCGTGTTCGTTCCGTGACAACTTTCCTCTACGATCAATTCGCGGGGCGGTATTAAGTATAATAACATAAATATAATTTAAGTGATGAAGCGGCGATGGCTCGTTAATGGAAGAGAACTATCGCAAGTAGTACAGACCTAACTGTATTGCGCARTGGATTGAACTCGGCACGTATCGTTCGGAAAAAAAATCATTGACAGCCAATGCCGTACAAATAAGTACAAACGACCCGTCGTCGTCGGGCGAGTGTTTGACGACGACGACAACGCGTACAGTTAATCTAAACGTCGACTCGACGGCAGCCCATTATTTCAAATTAGACTCTCATCTCGACACGGGCACGGGCCGATCGGACGGACGATCCTCTATTGTGTGCATGGTACACACACACACACACACGCATATTAGATTATACACGTCTTGCAAGTATTTTAATGTACAACGAGAGACTCCACMGCCAACCATCTCGATCCTTGCAAATACGATTTCATGCACGTAGATCCTYACATACGAGTTTATTATCAGTATCGCGTCGACTTCTTTCTCATCACTTATTATCTGCCCCCCAAGTTTTATTATTTATATACTTTGTTACTGTCGAACCCGTATTTTAACACGAAATTCATTCGGTTTTTTTTTTTACAGGGGAAGGTGGTGAAGGTGAAGAGCCGCCAGCGGGCTATCAGGAAGACGACGGTGGATGTCCGGAAGACGATGAGGACGAAGAGGAAGAAGAGGAGGAGGGCGTGTCCGGCGGATCGTCCGGCTCGCCGCCCAGGTCTCCAATCCCGTCGAGCACGGACGTCGAACAAGACGCGGCAGTCGCTAATGAGCGTTTGCCTCTGAGGTCAGTWTATACACTTATTACCATGATGGAATTAGATTATTATATCCATAGATAATACATAATGGATAGGCCATATTGGTTATCAGACGTTCTTCGATTTTCTGTCTCACTCGGCAAAAGAGTTTACACTCCATGATATTTCAAAAATTTCCTTCTATAAAAATTAATTTAAATTTGAATTTTTTATAAGAGAAGTGAATATGCCGTAGGCATATAGTCAAAACAGGCATTTTATCAGGCATATATTCAAAGAATTTAATTTTTGTGCAATTTCACTATCCGCATAGACACTTAGCCAAATGCCTAGTAATTTAATAAAATGACTAGGCATTTTGACTAAATGCCTATTTAAAGTCAGGCAAATAATAAAAATGAAACATTTTGTATTATTTTAATGTTTTTAAACATTTAACTGTATTTTCTATTAATTATTTATTGCTATTTTATGTATATAAAAAATCTATGTATTATTTATTAATATGTAAAACTTATAAGTATATGAAATATATTTAAGTTCTTGCACATTGATACAATTGTTTTAAAAATTAAATCATAAATATATATAGGTAATTACTAATTATTAACTAAAATACTATTAAATCGATGGACTGGTTATTAACGAAAGTTATACTTCAATAATTAACACTTTAAGTAACAAAAGAAAACGTATAACAATTAGACTTAAGAGGACGCTACATCCACATGTGWTGTTTCCGTCTTACAAGTACGTAACATTGTAAAAACTGTTTCGCGCGGGAAAGAACCTAGAAGGCTACAGTCATAACTAAGAAACGAAATTCTCACCACAGATAAAAGAGAATTTTGACTGTGCAACGTTGTTTTTATTTTTTTGATATTAGAACTGAAAAAAAGTTATTCGATTTTGAAAAACGCAAAAATTATGAATTTTGAAACAATAAGAACTTTTTTTCTATTTATGATATCGAAAAATTGAAAACAACGTTGYGCAGTAAATGTTCTCCTTATTATGGGGTGAAAATTTTGTTTCTTAGTTATAACTGTAGCCTTCCTGGTTCTTTCCCGCGCGAAACAGTTTTTGCAATGTTACGCACTTGTAAGACGGAGCAACACATGCGGGTGTAGCGTCCTCTTAAGTCAACGTTAAACTCACGATTCAAATCCCACAATGCAAGTGATATAGAATATCGGTTATCACTTATYAGTGTTCTGTGCTATAACACGCATGCAAAACACATAAACCMTGGAAGAAAAGATAACTTTTTTGCTGAGTAGGATGAAGATACGTTTTTAATATTGCTGTCTCTCTTCTTTATTCGGGAACGATGCCCGTTATGTAACTAATATACACAGGGCCTATCCATTATGTATTATCTATGATTATATCTTATATAGGGACCCAATAACATAAAAATAATATACAGTTACGATTTATCGTTTTATCATGATACATGTATAATATATATATTATTTTGATGTTGTTTATTTAAATAATTGAGACTTTGTGAGTAAGTGAATTCTTCCCCCCCTGCACTTCACCTGTATGACACGAAAATGCGTTACGGCGGCGATCATTTTTGTATTTAGGATTTATGTCTCTTGAATCGTGTGAACGTTACACACTATCCGATTCAAAATGTAATTAATGATTGTGTTATAATAATATTCTTCGCGCTAAAAATATTATTAAAATAATAATATTACGATTTACAGTCGTTCTGTATYAAAGAGATCTACATATTATATTATAATTTATAAAACGACCAACAGATTATTAATTTTCCAACAGTCATTAACTAATATTATTGTTATTATTATTTAGGCGATCGTTTTCTGATCTCGATCGTCGTATATACCGCAATCTTAATTAAAACTTATAATTTAATCACCCACGAATAATATCGTTGTGCTCTATAAATATAATATTCAAAGACGGTGATACCTAATAATTATTATTACCATCGATACGGTTCGTTTAATTGGGCCTTGACATTATATCCTCTGTAAGAATGCCATTGAATTTATTCTGGTAAAATGGCCAATTTTACTCAATGTCACACACGTCTCGTCGATTAAACGAAACCGCCTCGATCATAAATCTAATTTGATGAATTTGTGAAAAAATGTATGTACAAATGTAAAAATGTCTTTGAGAATCGTGTTTGAACGTTAATTAAAGCACCTACTTTTACTCAGTAAATTTATTACATTAAAGTATTATCAATATTTTTTATAATATGATGTATTCAAACGGTACTTATCGTGTTCACACAAAAATATGATCAAATCA